GTTCAAATCAAAGCATTCTGTATAGTAGCTCTACGATTCATAAGGATGGATGCCTAATTAGACCAATTAGTTCTAGCATTGGGACATTTAATCAGCCATTGCCTGGTGAGGAACCAAAGTTTCTCCAGAGATTTCCCTCTCCAGAATGCAGAGTTGTAATCCATACTGATAAGAATGTAGCAGGAGAGCACATGAAAAAAGTTAATGTTCCATCAACCACTGAAGTGGCAGTTCTTTTGGCAGGACAAGACATTGTATTGCAACAGAAAAACAACACCTTGCAATGTGTTACAGAAACCCACAGGGTGTATGATGCTCTGCAGTACCCCCTCATCTTCTGGAAAGGTGAAGATTGGTACAGTAGTTCCCTACACCAAGTATATCCCACCACTGATCCATCAAAATCAGTTTCAGCAATGGAATTTTATGCATACAGAATGATGGTGAAAGCATCAAACTTTACAGTGCATTATTTAACAAGGCTCTGGTCTTGATCGAGGATAAATTATCTCTGGGTGGCAACAGTCTTCAGCAGATAGGTTTGCCTGCTCTTGTTAGAGAGAATAGTACAACTCTACTTCATGAAATCCTCAGGGGCACTAGTTACAATGCTGATGATTTGGCAAAGTACATTTAGGAAAATGAGCTGCAACTAATTCCTAATCAAAAGTCAGGTTAGTGGAAATTTCTAAAAAATGGTACAAAACAACTCTAGTTACATCTTTCTTGATGTGCCAAGAGGAACACAAAAAAAATTCTACTCAATCTTCTTTTGGCAAAGGTTAGACAAAGAAAATTGATCTTCTTGCTTTTACTTCTTCACGAATAGCAGCAACTGTGCTTCCTGGCAAACAGACAGCACATCCAACCTTCAAACTACAGCTTAATTTGGCAAACACAGAAATGCCATGTACAGCATAGGCAAAGGTACTGCTGCAGCAAAAGTGATTTAGAATTGCCATTTGATTGTCTGGGATAAGTGCACAATGTCACAAAAGTCTGCCTTTGAAGCATTTCACTGCACTTTGGAAGATATTTGTGGAAAGAAATCCATCATGGGTGGTATTACTTTTGTCATGGCTGGATACTCCACACAACTTGAAACTAAAGGTAGGTACACTCATAATGCTTCTCTGTAATTTGGATCCTCCAAAACTTTACAAGGGCACTAGACTGTGTATTAAACTATTTCCTCACAGTTTTGGAGGCCACAATCTTCACTGGAAGTTACAAGAGTGAGGATGTCTTCATATCAAGAATACCCATTATCAATACAGACACTTGCAGTTTCCAGTCTGTTTAAGTTTTGCTATATCTATTAACAAGGTTCAAGGGGTCATACAATAGAGGATTCCACAATTAACACTTCGTAAGCTCTCTAGCCTGAGTGATCTTTGTTGTGCAGCAAGGTAAAGCATATCTGATTCAGAATGAAGAACATAGCACAGATTCACATAATGTATGGCACTTATTTGATCAATTGCAAGTGTAGGAAGATGTGCTGTACCATTGTTAACAACTGCTGAGCAGTGGTTATCAACATGTGTTACAGTTAGTGAACTACAAAGCTTTGAGGAACAAGCTTTTTAAGGTTCGTATAACACAAAGATTGAAGGACACCAAATTGTTACACTTACTTGTGCTAATGTTTAGCAGCGGTTCTTTGGTCCATATTTGAGTCAAGATGTTCAGTGCTGGTGTGATACTGAATAGTGTGTGCCACACAGAAGAAAATTCGACCTAACAGCAAAGTTTTAGTAAGTGTTTGATGCAATGGAGATGCAAAGTTGACCTTATCACCTCCATTAGGTTAGTGGAAAGCATGATATAATGATGCAAGCACATTGTGGCTAACAAACCCACTGCAATCAACACTTATTCTGATGGAATGCCATGCAACTAAACAGAGATCAGCAGGTTATCTTAAAAAGATGCTAATGTTCGGGTTGAGAAACTTTGCTTCCTGTAAACAGGATATATAGTTCCCACCTAGAGCAGAAATCTCACAGTGTCCACATAAATATTTATATAGGTTGAGGCTTCCATTAGTTGATGCATAAATCTGAGTGACAATAACTAGGTAAGGTCACCATACATTATGAAAGATATTATCATAAGATTGTGAAAGATGTACCAAAGTGGAGATTGGGTGTGGCTTTGGTATGTGCCAGTAGTATGGAAGTCAGCTGGCTCCAATGAGTCAATTTTCTGACATATGAGATACTGTATCTATAGGGCACATACAAACCCATCGTACATATTGATCAACTGTATCTAAATGTACCTGGCATTGCCTGGGACAAAAAATTGTTGCACACTCAATGAGCTACAAGTTTTTCATTTGAAATCCTCAGTGCTTTTATTTTTTTACAAAACTACATGACAAATTGACAGGCATATCACAGCTTAAACACACAAAAAACAACTTTATTCTTTTAAGTACAAGAAAAAATCATCACTTCCTCAATGCCTCAGGGTAAACAACATTCAAATTTTCCCTTGTGGTGCAAGAATGTACAGATTGGTTGAGTTACCAACCCTAGAACATCCAACATATAACTGCTCATGAGAGAAACCGACAACAGGTTCAAGCCAACCACTTTCAGTGACTGTTGTCTGGGTCCAAGGCACCATGTGGGAGTTCATATAAGTTCTATTATAACTCTATTCAATGAGTGGGTGATAAGCTTACGAAGTGTTAATTGTGGAATCCCCTATTGTATGATCC